GGAAGTAGATTGCCCAACCTTCCTTCTGAGGAGTGGCTGGTGGGTTTGAACCGCCAACCTTCTGGTTAGCAGTCAAGTGCCTTAGGCACTGCACTACCAGAACTCCTAAGGCAGGATTACATAACTTTATTTTAAATGTCTTTATCAGTCTCTGTATATCTCTCACACGAGTCTCAGACTTCGAAATCAGGCTGTAATGATGGACTCTGCAAGACAAGATCAGAAGCCTGCAGTAACCCATTCTCAACACTTTATCTTAGGGGCCAAGGCATTTCGCATTCCAGCTAAATCCTTCTGCCTTACAAATCCAGACCAGCAGGAGCTCCTACCATTGGTCAGGTACAACAGAACGTTAGTTAAGACACCTCTTGAGAGCAGTTCCTTCCACTTCATTGTTTGGAACTAGGTATTCATTCATTCAACAAATATTTATGGAGCACCTGCTAGGTTCCAGGCTCTCTTCTAGGCTGTGAATAAATTAAAGTCCCTACTCTCAAAAATCTACATTTTAGCAGGGAGAGTGAGGAGGCCGGTGTAGGGGAGGACGGATAAACAAATAAGAAAATGTTGGACGTGGGTACTAGCGAGGAAGAAACGTGCCTGGGGGCTCCCTTTGGTAGAGCAGTCAGAGGAGGGTGGTAGGCTCCCTTTGCCTGCCCTTCACAAACATCACCGGAAGGAAGCAACTCATCAGAGCCATTGTTCTCCTCCAAGTTTTGTGCACAGACCTAACTCCCCAAAGGGCTCTGCGTTTCCGGGACAGCATGCTGAAGAATCCTCTCTTTGCCCAGGAAGAAAGGGACAGGAAGCCCTTTCTGAAGTCAGTGCAGGGCGCCCCAGATTTTGAGCACCTCTCCGCGCTTGTGGGGCTACAGCTTTTCACCTGATTCCTTTGGCCTGCAGGACGAGGCGGGTTCTGTGTGAGTAGGGGCAGAACCTCATGCTGTAGAGGCGGATCATGCCCTCCGGGACCGGCCCAGGGGGAGCGCATCCTGAAATGGGGGGAGGTGGGTTAGCTCGGTGGCGGTGGCGAGAGGAGCTCACTGTCTTCCCCGACCGGAGAGCCGGGCTCTTACACTGAATTCAGGGAGAAGGCCTGGCTGTTGCACGTGCCTTTTGTGCGTGGGAACCCTCTGAGGCACTCCCCGCCCGACTGGTATGGGGGCCAAGGCCCGGGAACTGGTCTCCAGAGGCCATACCCCAGACCACGCGGCGCCCCCCAGCCTGCGGGCCTACCCCTCCCACCAGGACTTACCTTTCCCCAGAGTCCTGGTCGCATTTCCAGACATGGTCTCAGCTGTCACCTTGGCGCCCTGCAGCTCGCTGCTGCCCGCCGGCGCCAGAGACAAGAGCGCTTGGCTCTCCCCTTTTGAGTAACTGGGACCTGGAGGGATACAGGCAGAGGTGATCAGGGACAGGAGCCTGGATAACTTAACCTCAGGAGACACCCTCAGACTGGGAAGCTGAACAGGGGTGGGCCAAGAAATCCTGAACGTTCAGCCCCCCTTTCTTTGAGGCCCTCTTCTCCACATCAGGAATACATGAAGAATGAGCACTTAACCCAGTATGTATTTTTTTTTTTTTTTTTTAAATTAACCAAGCCTGTTGCTGTGGGCAGTCTTTTCAGACTCAGGCCCACCCCACCTTACAGAGTAGAACTGCTCTGTAGGGTTTTCTTGGCTGTAACCTTAAGCAGACCCCCAGGCTGCTCATCCCTAGGCCTCTGGGTGGGTTCAAACAGCCAACCTTTACATTAGTAGTAGAGCACATGTTAGTATGACAAAGGAGTTTAATAAAAACGGACCAGAGTAAGCTGACTTTTCCTTTCACGGTACTACACCCTCTGGCTGCAACACAAAGACATAAGATAATGGGCCTTATCCTCTGTGTAATGATGCTTTGGTAGTGCTTAAGGCATTTGACTACTAACCAGAGGACTGGCAGTTCAAAACCACCAGCTGTTCCATGGAAATGCTTTTCAAACTCATTGGGGGTCCATATGAGTCATAATTGAGTCAGTGGTAGTGGATTTAGTTTTTCTGGTTTCTGCATAATGAGTATGAGCTTTTTTTTTTTCTTTCTTTTAGTAAGGTCAAACTTCCTCATGATACAGGGGATGTTGTTGTTGTTATGTGCCTTTGAGTCAGACCTCACTCATAGCAACCCCTCCTTGTGTTGTCGAGGCAGTATCGCTATGGAAGTAGATTGCTCCATCTTCCTTCTGAGGAGTGGCTGGTGGGTTTGAACCGATAGCCTTCTGGTTAGCAGTCAAGTGCCTTAGGCACTACGCTACCAGAGCTCTCGATACAAGGGATAGAAAAGAATGTATTGGTGTTGAGATCTTGGACCACCCTGAGAATGAGCACCTCCTTAAATTTGGTACCTCAGAGGCCTCACTTGCCTCACCCTAGAACGGGCCCTGCTTGTAAGACTTTATGCAAGCTCTAAAGAAACCTGGTAATGAATAAAAATAAGATACCTGGAGGCAAAGACAAACTGGTGACACCATTCCCACGCCCAGCCCAGAATAAATTGCCAGGAAGACCATTTCTAGTGGTGTAGTGCCCAAGACATTTGACTAATAACCAGAAAGCTGGCAGTTCAATCCCATCAGCCACTCCTCAGAAGGAAGACTGGGCAATCTACTTGCGTAGAGATACTGCCTCGGAAACCCAAGGAGGGGTGGCTATGAGTTGGCACTGACTCCATGGCAATGAGTTGGGTTTTTTTTTTTTTTTTTTTTAGGACACATTGCCAAGAGCCAAGCAATATAGGGGCCACTCGAGATAAAGGAGGACCTGGCCTTTGTTCTGACCCTCATAAACTGAGATTGTGAACATTGCTAGGTGGGAAGATAACTCTATTTTACAGGACTGAGCTGAAGTGAGAGTTGCTTGTAAATGCATTTTATGGGATTGATGGGTAAAGAAGGCAGAAACAGTATTATGTGTCTCACCTGACTACGTGGTTTCTGTGGGTTACCTTATTTGATTCCTACAACTGCTAAGTTAGGCAGCTAGTAGTATTACTATTCTTATTTTACAAAATGGAAAAGAGTCTCAGCAAATGAAATTATTTGGCCAAAGTGGCCAGCTAGAAGGGTTGAAGAATTCTGAAAGGCCAAAGCCTGACTCACAGTCTTGGTCTTAAAACCTGGTATCAGTGTGGAGAAGAAAGACTGTGAGTCCAGGAAAAGATGGAACACACATGGCTGGTCAGCAAACAGTTGTTGTTGTTGTTGTTAGGTGCCATCGAGTCATTTCCGACTCATAGCGACCCCATGCACAGCAAAGCAAAACACTGCCTGATCCTGTGCCAGCTCCATGATCCCTGCTATATTTGAGCCCATCATCACAGCCACCGTGTCAATCCATCTCATTGAAGGCCTCCCCCTCTTTCATCGACCCTCCACCCTACCAAGCATGACATCCTTCTCCAGGGAATGGTCCCTTCTGACAACATGACCAAAATAGGTGAGACGAAGTCTGTCTGGCCATTCTTGCTTCCAAGGAGCATTCTGGCTGCACTTCCTCCAGGACAGATCTGTTAGTTCTTATAGCAGTCCATGGGACTTTCAGCATTCTTCGCCAGCACCACAACTCAAAAGCATCAACTCTTTTTCGGTCTTCCTTATTCATTGTCCAGCTCTCACATGCATATGAGGTGATTGGAAATATCATGACTTGTGTCAGGCGCACCTTAGTCCTCAAGGAGACATCCTTGCTCCTCAGCACTTGAAACAGTTCTTTCACAGTTGACCTTCCCAATGCTACACGTTGTCTAATGTCCTGACTGCTGCTTCCGTTTGGCATCAATTGTAGAACCAAGCAACGTGAATTCTTTGACAACCTCAATCTTCTCTCCATTTATTGTGATGCTGCTCATTGGTCCAGTTGTTAGGATTTTTGTTTTCTTTATATTGAGATGTAATCCATACTGCAGACTGTATTCTTCAACCTTCATAAATAAGTGCCTCAAGTCATCCTCACTTTTGGCAAGCAAAGTTGTATCGTCTGCATATCTCAGGTTGTTAATGATTCTTCCTCCAATCATGATGCCATGTTTTTCTTCATATAGTCCAGCTTCTGTAGTTTAGCAAACAGTAGTTAAACTAAATAACTTGTGTCAAGATGACAGAATTTAATTAGGTAACTTGTGAATTGGCATATTTTGGCCTTTAAAACAAAATACTATCTAGAACTTCTTTGATAATACTGTTGACATTTTATATGGAAAAGCAAAAGACCCAGAATAACCAACAAAATACTGAAGATGAACAAAATTAAGGACTGACACTACCCAATTTCAAGGCTTCTTATACAGCTACAGTAATCAAGACAGTGTGGCACTGGCAAAATATTAGGTACATTGATCAATGGAACAGAATAGAGAGCCCAGAAACAGACCCATGCAAATAGAGTCAGCTGATCTTTGACAAAGGAACAAAGGCAATTAAATGGAGAAAGGCTCGCTTTTCAGAAAATGGTACTGGAATAAATGGACATCCATATGCATAAAAAAAATAAAATGAATCTAGACACTGACCTTAGACCTTTCCCAAAAGTTTAAGGAAGATCGCAAAATGGATTATCAACAAAAAAGTAAAATGCAAAACTATACAACTTGTAGAAGATAACACAGAAAAAAATGTAGGTGACCTTGGGTTTGGCGATGAGTATTTAGATAGAACACCAAAAGCATGATTCATAAAAGGAAAATTGATGTTGGACTTTATTAAAATTAGAAACATCTGCTCTGTGAAAACACTGTTAAGAGATTGAAAAGAAAATGCATAGACTAAGAGAATATACTTGCAAAACATATATCTGATAAAGGACTTGTATCCAAAATATTCAGAGAACATTTAATACTCAACAATAAGAAATGAAATTAAAAAGTGGGCAAGAGATCTGAATAGACACTTCACCAGAGCAGATACGTTGTTGTTGTTGTTATGTGCCATTGAGTCAGACCTGACTCATAGTGACCCCTCCCTGGGTTTCCGAGGCAGTATCACTACCGAAGTAGATTGCCCAACCTTCCTTCCGTGGAGTGGCTGGTGGATTTGAACCACCAGCCTTCTGGTTAGCAGTCAAGGGCCTTACGCTACCAGTGCTCCTGGAGCAGATATACAGATGGCAAATAAGCATATGAAAATATGCCCAACATCATATGTCACTAGGAAATTACCAATTAAAACAAATTAAAAATGAGATCCCACTATACACCTATTAGGAGCTCTGGTAGCATAGTGGCTAAGACACTTGCCTGCTAACCAGATGGCTGGCGGTTCAAACCCACCAGCCACTCCTCGGAAGGAAGGTTGGGCAATCCTACTTCCGTAGTGATACTGCCTCGGAAACCCAAGGAGGGGTCGCTATGAGTCGGGGCCGACTCGATGGCACATAACAACAACAACAACAACATACACCTATTAGAACGCCAAACACTGACAATATCAAATACTGGTGAGGATGTGGAGCAACAGGAATTCTCATTCATGGCTGGCAGGAATACAAAATGGTACAGCCACTTGGGAGGACAGTCTGGCAGCTTCTTACAAAGTTCAACACAGTCTTAATGATCAGTAGTCACATTCCTAGGTATTTAATCAAATGAGTTGAAAACTTATGTCCACACAAAAACCTGAGCTTGAATGCTGTTTGTTTATAGCATCTCTATTCACAACTGCCAAACACTGGAAGCAAACACTGAATGGACAAAGTGTGGTATACCACATTGTCGTTAGGTGCTGTTGAGTCAGTTCCGACTCACAGAGAGTCATGTACAACAGAACAAAACACTGCCCAGGTCTACACCATCCTCAATCTTGTATGCTTGAGCCCACTGTAGCAGCTACTGTGTCAGTCCAGCTCGTTGAAAGTCTTTCTCTTTTTTTTGCTATCTACTGTATCAAGCATGATATCCTTCTCCAGGGACTTGTCCTTCCCGACAACAAGACCGAAGTACCAGAGGTGAAGTCTTGCCATCCTTGCTTCTAAGGAGCTATCCAACTGTACTTCATCCAAGAGAGACTTGTTTGTTCTTCTGAAAGTCCATGGTATATTTCAAATTCTTCACCAACACCACAATTTAAATGCATCAATTCTTCTTCAGTCTTCTTTATTCATTGTCCAGTTCTCACATGCATATGAGGCGGTTGGAAATACCATGGCTTAGGTCACACTCAACTTTGTCTTCTAACTGACATTTTGCTCTTTAACACTTTAAAGAAGTATTTTTTGCACCAGATTTGCCCAATACAATATATCATTTGATTGCTTGACTG